CTTTAGCATCCTTTCGACAAGCCATTGCGTCTTCCTAGGATCATGAGTGGTGATCTTACGGTGAGTCTGCTTGAATCTATACTAGAAGATATTTCTGGAACCATCTAAAAACTTCACCCCATTTCAAAAGACACATACGAAAAAGGCACACAAGTCTTCTGTGAACAAACCCTTGCAGTCCCTTCTCTCGTCACCCGACAACATCACATATGATGGGAACGCGAGAGTCAAGGCATGTGAAACAGCGCACGGCGATGGCGCCCTGAGCGAGCGCATTGAGATGTTTCAACGAAACAGTCGCATGTGATTGAATACATGCGTCACATTGAGAGAGCAATGCGATGAGAAAAAAAAAAATTGAAACGCTTGAATTTGTTGAGAGCGTGTAGCTTGTCGCGCGCATAGTTCTGGTGTCTCTTTTGTACAATTAATGTAGCACACCATGGATTTGAGAGTCATGCGACGCTCCGTCTCACAGCTCGCTGTCGCATTTGTGTACGCGTGAGATTTCCGGAAGCCTGATTGCGTGTACCATTTTTGCATTAGTATAATTGTGTGGCAAGTATAATCATACTGTATGCCCAGGGAAGTCGAGAAAAATTCCTAGGCCGGACCGGGAATCGAACCCAGCCACCTCCAGCATGGTTTTGCTTTGTAGCTATGCCTTTACTGACTGAGCTTTAAGGCCTCCAATTTTCTCCCAATTCTTAAAAATGCGATTTATGGCAAATCTTAGAATACTGTACATTTAGGAATGAATGTATGTAACATGTTCCTGAGTTCACTCTCCTATATAACAATGCATTTCATCAAATTTTGAAAATCTTTAATAAAAAAAAACCAGATTTCGAAATTCATACACAATTTTGGAGCCTTTTGAGAAAATATAAACGTTCAAAAGATATTTCCCTGTCAAACTGTGTAAAGACTACAAGTTTCTATTTTTCGTTGAGGTATATCCAAAATCAAACGACAAGGAAAGGACTTGGAGAACTTTAGGTCGATTGGAATCCAAATTGATTTAGGATTCATGAATGCAGCTTTCATTCGACATTATCATTATCACCGGAAAAGCTGCATTATTATTTACCATTAGACGTTTTTTTTAGCTTCAATTAAAAATGACCTTCAATCACAGTAGCTTGAAAACAGCTTGCAAACGTATATCAATGAAATGAGTCCAGTGTTGGAAGAATATCAAAAGCAATGATGGCATAATCCTCACTCAAATGATTTTGTTTCGCTCTCAAGGGCTCCCAATATCACACGAGATATTAGAATAAAATATCAAGCATGATATTGATTTAACAAGCTCCTTTGATATTGCGAGACTATTCAGAACATGTAAAATTGAGGCTACGAGTTGACATACCACAAGAATGATTCCGTAGCACATCGTTTTCTTAGAAAGAGAAAGCATACCTTGCTATCTCTTTTTACTCTACACAGATGACAGACACGAAGCTACTGCAGTGATGAAAGTTTCGGTTCGTGTTCGGGTGTACATCAAAAATCTTGAAGCTCAAACTCACCACAGTTTGGTGAGAATTGTAGCTGGTGAGTTTTGTAAGCATGATATCAGAGCAACCGTACCACAGTTTGTAATAGCATCCGATATTGTCTGCTTGTTGATTTTTGTTTACGATACTCAAATGCGATTATTCTCATTGGTGAGATTTGATCTTTTGATATTTTCCCAACACTGATCAAAAGATCGAATCTCACCAATGAGCAATACCTAATATGATTATCGTGAACAAAATCAACAAGCAAACAACAGCGGATGATATTACAAGCTATGATACGGTAGCCCTGATATCATTCTAACAAAACTCACCAGCTACAATTCTCACCAAACTGTGGTGAGTTTGAGCTTCAAGATTTTTGATGTACACCCGAACATGAATCGAAACTTCCATCACTGCTGGCAGCAGTAGCTTCGTGTCTGCCATCAGTGAAGATTAAAGAAATATAGCTTACTATGCTTTCTCTTTCAATGAAAATGATGTCCAACGGAATCAGTTTTTACATGTTGTTCTACAATTTTACATGTTCTGAATAGTCTCGCAATATCAAAGGAGCTTGTCAAATTAAAATCATGCTTGATATTTTATTCCAATATCATTCGTGAGATGAGAAAGAAAAAAAAACTAATTTGAGTGAGAATTATGCCGTCACTGGAAATTACATTTTTAACAATACTTATTATCAGATTCTCAGATACCTACTCAACAAACATTGCATACCAAGGGGCAAGTCAGCTTTACTCAGAGTAAATAGTATTGCAGCGAGAGCAGCAACTGAAAAGTTGAGAGTTGTGTCACCTATCCGAGATTGAAATTTTATAATAAAGTCACTGTTTATTTGCAGGATTGATCATGTTAAGGAGCTGTTCGAGGAGACGATTGAATTGAAAAATATGCCCTGATGATTGTCCACGCAGCAGTCTGAAACTTGTCAAAATCAATCCACGATCAAGACCAACAATTGAAAAGGCCTCAACTCCATTTTATAAACAAACCTTGTAAGGCCATTTTGTCACGAACCAAAGTCCGCCAACGCAAACCAACAAAATGAAAAGGTAGGGTTAATTATCCTGTACCCGATCGTGTTTTAGTTTTGCGAATGTAGGTTTCGGTTCACAAGGTTTGTTTACAAAATGTAGTTGCGGCCTTTTCAATTGTTGGTCTTGCGATAATGTATGCTCACAGTCCCTAATAGATTGAGCTGTGCTATATAATTTCAAACCAGCAAGCATCAATTAAGAGAATAAACCTTCATGAGCAAGAGCAAGAGTAAGAGCCTCAGCCAGAATGAGAGCTTCAAACCTCACTTCAAACAACTCATAGTATTTCCTTTATAACTTAGATTCGCTCCAATACGCCTTGTGTGACTCCAGAATTCCTGTACCCAAAATCTTCAAATTGATATTTTTTTTTCTATTGCAGTTGTTCTGCTTTGAATGACAAATAAATTATAAAATATTTAATAGCAATTTCGATGTTTTTGTTGAAGAGTTGGTTTTATTTTATTTATTTATTTAAATTAATTTCCTTTACTGTTGTTTTAATATATTTTGCATATTCTTCCTCTAATGATTCTTCCTATGATTTCATTGCAAATCTATGCCAGAGGAAATTGATGTTTCAGTGTTCACTCGGCTGTCGACAAAAGCAGACCACTCTCGATGTGTGCTAAGCGATCGTCTGTTTTCTCGGCAGCAACCATTGTGTGGTCCTCCTCATTGTTCTTCATCAGCAGTTCTTTCGGTCGATGCGTCGTCGACTTTGGAAAGCAACCGTTTCGTGATGAGTGTGTGAGTGCTGACCACGTTTTGCGTCCATTGCTGCAATGGACGCGCTCTGACCCTCGTTGGCGTACAACAATTTGCCATACAATGAAACTACTGGAAGCGACTCAAGTTCTGATGGAGGAGGTTTTTTGGATAGCGGAAGATAAAGTGTTTATTGTGTTGTACCTTTTGACTATATATTTAAGATGTATTGTGTAGTGACCAAGAATCCTCGGCTCTGTTAAGTTAATTCGGTTGAGCCTTATAAAATAAATTAATAAACAAAAAAAAAAAAGAAATTGATGTTTGTGAGTACTAATTTATCAAAATGCCTACTTCCCACATTATTCACTGTCCTTATGTTTGTGTTGGAATATACTTTCTCCAATTTATCATTTTTTCTCAATAACTACATGGAGTTGTTAAGATCAACGATAAGAATTATTATCTAAGTCAGCACAATAATCTCACTAGATCTCACCTCATTTAACCTGTCGTTGATATGCTTACGAGGCAGCGATCGATTCTGCATTAATTCACGAATCACAGGAAATTACCAGATGACAGTAGAGAAATTAACAACAAAATCAGGTTGCTGCGGGTTTTGAACATTGAGCAACACGATTTACGCAGAGTTTCTTAAAATCAACTCAAAAATCTGTCGTGAGGAAGAGCTGTCTTGCCCCAAGTTGCATACTGAATATGAGCTGATTCATGCCAAAATTAACTTCTTCTGCTAAAACTTGGCTTATTCAGCTTTTAATCAGCTCAAACTTTTTGTTGGGCAGCGTTTTAAAATAATACGAAAGTGACTTCAAACTTTAGTTAAAAGGTATGGTAAAAATATCATGTTTCATAAAATACCTACAAAGCACTAGTAAAGCCATAGCGGAGCACTAAGTGCTGCACGGAGCACGATCGTATAACTATTTGTTTAAATATTATACCATCGGGCTTTATCAGCTTTCAATCAGTGATTTTAATAAAACAAAAACAAGATACAGGAGTGGATAACGGCATGCTAGAATTCCATTTGTTTAATACAAACACTTAGGAATAATTCAATGAGAAATTATTAAACCCTTGAACCCATTTCTGTTTTGGAAAGCAATCCCTCGATCAGGTCCATTTATAGTTATTAAATGTACCAAAATTTCTTTTTTTATTAAAATGATTCATGTCAAATGTCAAACATTTACTTTATGTCGTATATACCACGCAACTGAATACAGCGGCGATTGACTAAATTTTAACCCAAGAACACATGCGCAAAAGTGTGAATGAACCATGAATTCAGGGGCATTTCCCCATCTAGATGATTTCAGTTTAAAAATTGTCCTGAACTCCCATCACCTATTAGCCAAAGTATGAAAATCAAAAAGAAACCTACTTTTCCGTTAACTTTCACGGCGAACCCGCCTCCCGGAATCCAATATTCTCGAGAAAGGTTTTGTGGGCCGAGAGCACCTCGACAGCGTTAACATCCTTCTTCAGTTCTTCCAGATCGCGCTTCTGTTTGGCACGTCGATTCTGGAACCAGGTTATAACCTATACCAGGAAAAAAGGAAGAAGGAACGGATGAAAGGAATATCAATAGAAGTGATTAAAGTCAATTTAAGGGACTTTAAAAGGCAATCGAATTGTGTTCATCGGGTCCCACAAAACCTTTCGAGGAAATCGAATTTGCTACTACAGTGCCATGACCTACCTGAGCATTGGACAAGCCGAGTGCCGCCGCAATCTCGTCCCGATCCGAGGGCGATAGGTATTTTTGGTAGAGGAACCGTTTCTCGAGCTCGAAGATCTGGTGGTTGGTAAATGCCGTTCGGGATTTCCTCTTTTTCTTTGGTTGGGGCCGGTTGGCAAATAGGTTTAAATGCGATTGTTCTGTAATTATACAAACAAATACACAAACATGAGGAAACGGTGAACAACTTGTTAATTGGTTCGCTAAAATGAGAGAAGAAAGAAGCCGCCGCGTATCGGCTAGGTCGGGCGACGGATTCAGCGGCTGCTGTAAATTCATAAATTTTTATTGTGATTTGACTTTCTTCTTGTTCTTTTCCACAGTTTTTCGAAAACGAACCCAGACAACTGCTATGGCTGTTGAGGAGGTTGAAATGATAATTTCTGTTAATGTTGATTTCCTTTCGGTAGCTCTCGAGCGGTGCAGCGGCACAAAAGGTCATAAAATGTCAGCCGCCGGAAGAGGGTTACCGCACCACCGTAGCGTGGATAAATTAACACTAATTCATATTTTTCTCTGATGAGCGTGAACTTTTCCTGCTTGTTCAAATCAGTTGAATGGAGTATTTTTTAAGTAGACTCCATTTGCTAGTTAGTGCGAACTTGGTATAACTCTTGCGGAGCTGTCTGATTAAAAATTCCAATGTTTTCGCTTCGTAGGTCCGGTGATAAATTTTCATAAAATTAACGAATTTACGAGCGAGTCGTAAATTAAGCTCATTTAATTTAATTTAATTTAAAAGTTTTTTTTTTCCTTCAAGAAAGCTGATTCATCTAGGTTGAATCCATATCTTGACGAGCAACTCTGATGGACGAAAAGCTCGGGCCAAGAAGAGCGCACGTTATAATTGACGAACGGCTGAAGAAGAATGCGTGCTCATTTGCATTTTAATACGAGCTGTCCAATTTTTCACAGTACTGACAGTGTGCGGTGGAACAAAATGGTTTCAATATAAGTTGAAAGCATTATTCGTAATATACGAGAAGGTCCGAATAGCAAGAATGTCGTGTTCAGGTGTAATCTCATTAGCAACAATCGCAAAATTGCTTTCCCGCAATTGACCGAGGGGCTTTTGTTGTAGTAGCCCACCGCTGACAGCCGCGTGCTGTCGTACTCGTTAGCATGTTCATCACAGCAAGCATCGATTGTCACTGTCGTGCATCGATATGGGTGCGGCTTTTGATCAAAAGCGCATGTGTATTCATAAAACAGCAAAATGAGTACTAATTAACTTCTCTCGCAACCAACTGCGTTTTTGATTGTTGGAACCGGCAAAGGAAATATTAAATTAAACGATAATATATTAGACTTTTCATTCGGATCTCTTTTCGGTAAGCCGCCAAAAGAACTTTGGCGGTTTGTTATTTTTCGTTTTGGTTAGAAGAAGCAATAAAATTATTAAAATAAAAATGATTTCTTCTTTCCAGATTCGACGGAGGATGCAACAAGAAAACCAATTGACAGATCAGATGCCGTGTGTGGCTGCTTTACTGATATGCAAATATACAACAAAATGGGTTCAGAACGCCTAACGTAATGCGGGCGCAGGCAGAGAGATCTTTAATCTGTCCCAGCACAAATTGGCCGCAAAGTGAGAGGCGGCTAATTAGCCCAGCAGTCGAAATCGTCACTTCTGGGAAATGGTCCCTGCCAGCGAGCAGTGGCTAAATGATGCGAATAACTGCGCTCCGCACTGCCTGCAGATTGCTTTGATCAGTCAAAACGCTTTGATGACAGCCGGTGTGCAGGGTTGCCAGTTGTTTTCAATAGCTCATTGGTCGCACATTATGTTACGCTGCCAACGCGGTTGATGACTGATGATGTCTCTAATTAGCTTCCAGAATAATCCATTGCCACCGCATTTGCTGCTCAGAATGAGCCGGTTTGATTTGGTTGGCTTCGCCTCCATGATCAGGAAAAAAGCAATCCATGAAACGAAGATGTTTTTATGAGAGTGGTAATTAGTTTCTGGAACTGAGAAAACATTTGCTATGATCTACCAAAACTGATGAATAATCGAGTATCAAGAAAACTTCGAACCGATCAAAAGTTCAGCATACAAGACAATGGCCGAAAGCACGTGAGTCAATAGCCCTAACCATGAAAACAAACAACCTATGTTTGTGAAGAAGATCACACCAACCACGACGCGGTTCACTGAGCCGAAGCGTCCCCAAGATTGCGTTAGTATTGGTGGAACCATGTCATTCACTCACCATTATGCTATCGCAGCAACCTGTGTCACCATCGGTAAAGTAAATATTGTGGACTGTAGATAGCGCGAACGAAAAAAAAAAAAAAGCTCAAACTGGACTCCATGCCATGCTTTTTGTAAAGGGTACCTTCTTGTCGCGGCACCAATGCCTTTGATCTGCGTCGTCGATCTTCAGATTGTATATTCTCCCTTTCCGAGCATAGCGCGTGCAGGGGCGTGCGTGTGTGAGAGAATAGATCCGATTCATGCGCGTAGGGTGTGAGCATTGCCACGCCCCACGTGAGATGGCGCTCTCGTTTCTTTTTTTTTGCTGTTCATTCTTCATCCGCTCTTTCTCACTGGTGACTTTAGCGAGGGGGCACGACGCCGCATAACTGACAACCTGTATAGGTTTTTCGTGAACTGGTGTTTGTGCAAAGCGGGCACTTAAAAGCCGCCGGGTCGTGGAGTGTACCGAATGATATTTACTAGAGTGTAATATCATAATTTATGGTGTGTCTTGAATCTTGCCGCTGTCTCTAATCGATTCCGCCACAGGATGTGTAATTAGACCCCTGGAGCGTGAGCATCGTAATTACTCCCTCGTGACATAACCTACCCACGCGTGTACCCAGCACAAATCAAGGAGTGGTGCCTGACAACAACCACAACAACAACCACCGCCACCCAGCTATAATATCTGCTTAATTAATCAATTATGAATAAAAGCAACGGTAGCACTAGCGTAGGCAATGATAAATGATACCATAGTGTCATGGGGCTAGCCCAGCCCTGTTTGTTCGGAACTCATTAGTGTTGTTTTGTCTTTCCCGTGTGTTATTTGCCTAAGTAGACTCCATTTCTCGATCGATTACTAACGAGTGCAGTCTATCACTCCATCCTAAACCGCAAACAATAGCAACGTGGCATACAGTGCTGGCAGTGCTCGGTAAGTTTGACAGTGACAACTCGGTGACTTTGATGTGACAGTTGGGGGCTACCACATTGTGGAAAAAAATACACGTTGCTGCTGTGACGCGAATACAAACCTTCGAAAGATGGAACTGCTATCGATTTTGTGACTTTCTTTTGTGCATTTTTTCTGATGTGAATGGGTTTGTTTGCCGACGGGAAGTAGGTAATTTTCCCATTAGATTCGGGTTGGACTGGAGTGGGAATGCCTAATGATTGAACACAATGCATTGGTGTGGATATCGATTTCTCCGGGATGTCTATCAGACGTTTAAGACTTATTTTAACTCTCAAACTCCAAATGTAAAAAAAAACTACCCCAGTTGAATTCAAAATATTTTAGAATTAAAAGATTTAATTTATAAATCCTTTATAGCTCATCGAAACTTGCGGAGTTAGTGTTTTTTTTTTATATAAGGATAGATCAGGCATAACATTTGATAACGGCACAAAAGCATTTGTAAACAAACTTTCTAAGGCCCTTTACACGTGAACCAAAGTACGCCCACACAAACCAATACCAGCTTCGGAAAGGTGATAGTTGTCCCTATCCGATGATGTTGTTGGTTTGCGTGGGCATACTTTGGTTCGCGTATAAAGGGCCTTATAAAGTTTGTTTACAAATGCTTTTAGCCGTTATCAAATGTTATGCCTGAGATAAAACATTGGTTCAGAAATTACGGAATTATGATAGTTTTAGCATTTTTCAATATCAAACGTTGGAAGTTTGAGAGTTCGTCTAAACCAGGATCACATTTTGCATGACTTTCTTAATTTTTGTGTCGAACAAAAATGTTTCAAAAATGTTGACACTTTAAAGTCGTTAATTGGGCTACAAATTTTTACTGTGACCATTCATACCATGCCTGTACCAATTTGACGCTCTTATTTAACATCTGCTTCTTCTTTATTTAATACGTATTAGCGGAAATTTGCAGAGTCGTTAATTTTAAGCTTTCAAAGCTTATATCAATTTATCATTTGTGTATAGCCAACATTCGCCTTTTGGGAGTTTTCTCGTTGAGATTCTTTTTAGATGGGAAGTAGCTAATTTGGTGGTGTTCCAACTTAAAAGCAGTTATTATTCATCAGATAATTCTGTAAAACAAGTAATAACATTTCAATATTGTTACCTGGGAATGATATAGTGTGATGTTGCAAAGAAAAACAAAATACAACCAAGTGACCAAAAGTTCTGATAAAAGGCTATTTGAGGCTTAAGAAGCTTAGTTAAAGGTGGTCTATAGAATTCTAAGCAGCCTCATTTTTAAGGCGTATATCCTCAACTTGAAAGTTCCTGTATCATAATTGAAGAGAATTCTAAGCAGCTTCTGGCGGAAAATAAACGGCACTTGAAGGAAATAGGTAAAAAAGGGTTTTTGTACTCTATACCAGTTTTAAATTTAGTTCGCATTTTTATGAAAGTTAATGAATAGGTATTTATGAAAGTTATTTCTGAACCCAGGAATGAACGTGTATTGATTTATCAACATTACTAGTAGTATTAATACTACACACTTCGAAATAGTCATGTAAATTTCGGTTCCCTGAGGCCGAGCGTCCTTTTGACATAACAATCAGTTGAAGGAAACGGGAAAATCAATTCAATAAAACGTTCTCTTCGGCGTCTTGATTATGTTTCGGTTTGAGAACAATTAATTTTACATTAAATGTTTGTTTACGTTCCATAATTTACATCCAATATGGATTACGTCTCGTGAAAAAGGAGTTATTTCTAAGTGTGTAGTAATTAGAGCTATTTGAAAAATTACACCCAGTCCTTCTGCGTGAGAGCCCCAGCACGAATGTTTGGATCGAATATTGATGAACTGAATAAATATAAGAATTATGATTTATTTTAATCACTAATCATTTCATATTAACGTACATGAAATTTTGTTACTAATAAAGACTTATGCGGATTGTTGCATGTGGGCTTTGAGGAACCTTTTTTAGAAACTTTCAAGTTGCTAA